GTGGGCATTGAAGGGAGACCTATAAAGACTATAAACTATAAAACTTCCTTGCTAAACTGTATATAAAATATTATGTCCCCATCAATTTCTGGTTATAACTGAAATGCCTGTACTTTTATTGGGAAAGGATTTGTTATCAAAATGCTAAAGTTCTCTTCACCCTAATGTTTCATTTGGCATTAAAAAGTGGTGACTCAATAGCTGTAAGCCTCAATATACCCCCAGGGTTAAAATCCAGCTATTTGGACTAATTAACCTTCAAGAGCTAAAAGAATGTTAACTGTAAAAATAGCATTAAATGTTTCACTCTGAAGGCTGCAAGAAGCACGGAGTTGCAAGAAAACTTCAGCCCAGCCCTAGCTTTGCACCTTCCACTGCATGCTGCTTGAGGCTGTCGGTGTTTGGGGAGCTGCTGTCAGTGGGGAGCGGCCACCTTGGAGGGATACAGAACAAGTTGCTCATGAACTCCAAACTGAATTCCAGAAAGGATTCTGCTCTGCACACACTCCTGATTACAGCGAAGTCCTTTGTTGAACCAAGTACAGACCTTTCTCCCACAGATGGTCCAAGCAAATAAAAGGTCAAGAAAAGAAATGGCAGCTGTATCACCAGGTCAGTTTGATATTGAAAAGGTTGATCAGACTAAAAAGAAAGTCATATAAATGTAAATAGCCTTGTTTCAGATTAACCTGTCTGACTGAAAGGAAAAGGACAGTTCAGAAGAGATACAAGATAGCACAGAAAACAGCTCAGAATCAGAGGATGAGGATGCCAACCTTCCCATGAAGTCACCTTAGATAACATTAAGCTTCACAATTCAGAAGGTGGGAAAGGCAAGAAGAAAGTTTTGAATAGTGCTGCAAGTAAAAAGAAGAAACAGTGAATTAAAGGCCTTGGGAAGAATCATGTGGCATCTGCCTGCCAATCCCTATGAGAAAGAAAGTGGTGATCTGGATTTTGCCTTTCAAAGGTGCCTTCGTTGTTTTCCATAGGATTGTACGTGCTTTGTTTCTCAGAGACACACAAGCCAGTGTTAGAAGAATTGCACGACACACAGGTTAGACTGATCTTTGGCCTCATGTTAAAGAGGTCTCCCATTTAGAATGCTTAACTGTGCATGGAGACCAGAGAGCTTGTTGGTATCTTCTTTCTTTAACATGGACTTTAGAAATACCATTTTCTATCTTATACATATATAAATTACCTGAGGTTTTGGATTTTTGTCTTTAAAAACTATTCTGTTGTATAAAACAAAGTTGTGTGTGTCACATTACTGGAATGCCACAGAATTTTCTCATGATCAAGATTGGTTCAAGGAAGGAGAGATTTTATTTAGAAGATAAAAGGATTTTTACAAGGAAGAAAAAGAACATGTATTTTAGCCACCCTGAGGTAAATCTGTTTTAAAAAGCATTCTTTTCCAGGTTGAAAGAGAAGGGGGCTCTGCGATTTGATCATTGTCCATGATTGAATCCACATACAGCTGCGTTGTTTAGCTTTGTTTTTTTTCCCAAAACTAGTGAGTGCTTTTTTGTCTCCATTATTAAAAATGTTCCTCACAGTTTTCTGAGAGAGACTTACCAAGTAGAAAAAATAAAGACAATATCAGAAAAACTGGAGGGAACTAAACAAAGACAGGTGCCTTTTTCTTTCAGAAGTCAAAATCATCCGAGGTTGGAGTTTTTATTCTCATTCTAATGTTCTTAAACATGTTGGGAGGCGGGAGGGACCCTGTTTGGGAGCTCATCCACCAGTAGTCTGACTTTGACAGGAAATAAACTGATTTTAGGGATTGCCTTGCCAATGAGCTGACTGGCCCCCTGATGCCTTATGGTTCTCTTTGAATCCTGTTTTCTTAGCCTCTGGCGCATCTAAACACTGAAGATTATTCTCAAGGTCCTCTCTATTTTTTCTCATTGGATATGGGGAGCAAACACACTCTACTAGCTTTCTAGCTTTCCTTGATTGTGCCTGAGTCTTTTCAAAGTGGAATTCTTTTTCTGCTTAAATTAAAAAACAAAACAAAACTGTATTTTCAGAAATGGAAGGCATTTTGGATGAAATAAAAGATTTCCTGAAGTAAAAAAAAAAAGCACTGAAACCAGGTGCAGAATATCCTAAAAGAAATCAGTATCGCCCATCATTAAGTAATTAGAAGAAGCAAGAATGATTTTTGAAAAATCTTCTCCTTCTGACACTCCCATCTTGGCAGTCCAGATGGTGAATAGAGATTCGTCCAAACTTAAGAGTTATCAAGGAAATACTACTTCCTGCTCATCCAGTAGTGCCCAAACCCTGCACTCTAGTAACCCAAGTATCCTTCGAGTCTGTTTCTCAATTTAAAGCCTGTTTCTCAATTTAATGCATTCTTTACCGCTCCACTCTGACTTTCAGCCTTTATTTGCTTTGGAGTAGACTGACCCAGAGATTCTGAGAACCAGTCACTATCTATAGTTAAGCAGAAGTAGTAGTACTAAATTCTTTTAGAAAGTAAAAGAGTGGTTTTACTTTTAAGTAGTATGTCTGACTTTGTCTGAATTTGAAAACTAAGAAGTTGTGATGGTTGTGAACATTGTAAAAGTGTAAGAGAAAGGGAACGTTGTTGGAAAGATAAATAGTAAAATGTTCTATATAATCTATGTTGTTGTTGTTATGTGCTGTCGAGTTGCCTGCAACTCATAGCAACCCTATATACAACAGCCCTAAACTCTGCTCTGTCCTGTGCCAATCTGTGTCTCTGACACCTCCACCCGATTACCCCAGTCACTGAATCAATCCACCTCATAGAGGGTCTTCCTCTCCTTCACTTTCCCTCCATCCTCCCAAGCATGATGTCCCTCTCCAAGGACTGCTCTCTCCCTGCAACAAGTCCAAAGTATGTCAAATGAAGCCTCAGAATCCTTGCGTCCAAGGAGCTGCCCGGTTTAACCCTCTCCAGAATGAACCGATTTGTTTTCTTAGCAGTCCATGGTGCTGCCAATACTCTTCTCCAGCACCACAGCTCAAAGACATCAATTCTCCTTCTAACCTCCCTAGTCATTGTCCAACTCTCTGACACATAACAAGTGATTGCAAAGACCATGACCTGTATCAGGTGCACCTTAGTCTCCAGAGTGACATCATTGCTCTTCAACACTTTGAAAAGGTCTGTAACAGCAGACTTTCCCATCACAATACGTCTTTTAATTTCCTGGCTGCTGGTGCCAAGAGTGTTGACTGTGGAGCCAAGCAAACTAAAGCTGTGAACAATCTCAGTCTCTTCACCAACCATACTGATGCTGCCAATTGGTCTTGTGGTAAGAATCTTTGTTTTCTTGATACTGAGCCTCAATCCATATTGAAGGCTGAAGTCCCTGACCCTCTGCAGCAAGCACTTTAGGTCCTCCTCAGTGTTTTAAAAAATGAATCAAACTAAAAAAGAGTCTAGCTAAATTGTGCCAGCAAACTCATCTGATGAGATTATTGCTGATTAACCTGTGTATGTTAGAGCAGTTCTTCAACAAATATTCAAATTGTCAGCATATGAGATCTTGTATAACAAACCTTTGTCTATACCTGTTCTTCAAACTCATACAGAAACAAGTTATCTTTTAAAGCATGTCCAAAACTTAAAGGAAGTACAATAAATGCTGTTAGATTATAAACAGTAAAACTTTCTCAGTTCTTAAGGTAAACAGAGACCTTTAAAAAAATCCTGATTTATTGCCCAAAAACAACAGACAAGTGAGAAAAATAGTTACTTTGTGCACCTGCAGAGTACTGGTAGTTATGCAGAAGTTCAAGTTACACAGACCTACATTGATCATGACATGTTTAAACGTGACCTGAGTAGGGACCACAGAAAAACTATTTCCAGTATATAGAGATTTAGCTCTCAGAGATTCTTCAAATATAATTCCTAGTAAGAGAAGTGAGGGGGGCAGAAATAGCTTCCACCCATCCTCAAGTGCCCATAATCAGGCCTATTGCCCAAGGGTTCACACAAACCGCCTTACCTCCCCCATCCCTTATGTGTATCTATCTAGTCAGCTTTTTCCACAGAGAATCCTCCTAAAGTCATATTCCTTCTGCAAGGTCTTTATCCAAAACCCTATCCTGTCTCTAACCAACTCATCACACTCCAGAACTACCAGGGGACCGAACCTGTAAAAACTTCCATCACCTCAACCTACCCCATATGCTAAATTCTTTTACCCAGCCTAACATCATCAAACCTAACCCAGACTCATTGTACCTTCTACTCAGGAAGAAGACCACATATCTCCCTTCCGTTACTTAATATAAACTTTGCACAACATCAAAACTAGCACTATGTTCTGTTATAAACTACCCCACCTGTCCATCCTTTAATACATCACCCAGCTAAAATATCTTCCACCAAGAACAACTCTCTTCAACCCCCCACTCTAGTGTATTTAGCTACCTCTTTCAGATCATATGAAAAGGAAGTCAACGTAGATTAGATTTGGCTTCTCTTCAGAGTTGACTTCTAAGGACGCCTGAAAGCAGGGAGCAATCTATTCTTTGCCTCTTCTACTCCTACCTGCAGAGCAATTGAACAAAGACCTGCACTATAGCCTACCTGTTCTTATTGTTAGGTACTGTCAAATTGAGCATGACTCATAGCGACACTATGAACAAAAGAACTGAACCCTGTTCGTTCCTGCACCATCCTCATACTTCCTGACACACAAGAGCCCGCTGCAGCAGTCACCATATCAATCCACCTGGTTGAGGGTCTTCCTCTCCTTCACCAACTCTCCATTCTTCCCAATATCATGCCTTTTTCCAAGGAATAGCACCTCCTAGCAACATATCCAAAGTGTGTGAGGCAAAGCCTCATCATTCTTGCCTCTTAAGAGTACTCTGGTTGCATCATCTCCAAGACATAGCTGTTTGTTCTCTTGGTCATCCATGGGATGTTCAGTGCTCTTCTCCAACACCACAGTTCAAAGGCATCAATTCATTTTTTCTTTTTTTTTTTAAGAGTTCAGGATTTTTTATTGAACGTTACAAAAGGAGTAGTCAAAAAGACCAAATCCCATGTCATCATCAGACTCTTCAGATTCTTCTTTCTTTGCTTCCACTTTCTTCTCCTCAACTGGAGCAGCAGCAGTTAGGGGGGCAAGTCCTCCAGCTGGTGCAGGCCCGGCCGCTGGGGCAGGTCCACCAGCACCCACATTGCAGATGAGGCTCCCAATGTTGACATTTGCCAGGGTCTTTCCAAACAGCCCAGGGCAGAAAGGTTCAACGTTGACACCGGCTGCCTTAATGAGGGCATTGATTTTATCCTCCGTGACTGTCACCTCATCGTCGTGAAGGATGAGGGCCGAGTAGATGCAGGCGAGCTCAGAGACGGAGGCTATAGTGCGCTGGTACTAGGCGGAAGGCTGTTGGACGCAGTGCTAGTCGCCAGATGAAGTGAGGGCCTCACCCCAACGTGGCCTTAGCTTCCTTGGAAGGACCGAGCACCTTAGCGGCAACTGAGGAAAGGGGCCAATTCTTTTCCTTTCATCCTTATTCATTGTCCAGGTCTCAGATGCATAGTTATTAATCAGAAGGACTATGGCCTTAATCAGACACACCTTAGTCCCCAAACTGACATCACTACTCCTGAATAATTTGGAAAGGTCCCTAACTGCAGATTTTCCCAGTGCAATGCATCTCCTTATTTCCTGACTGCTGGTACCAAGGGTGTTAATTGTGGATCCAAGCAAGATGAAGCTGTTGACAGTTTCAATCTGCTCTCCATCCATCATGACATTGCCTATCGGTCCAGTGGTAAGAATAATTTTCCTGACATTGAGATGCAATCCAAACTGAAGGCTGCATTCCTTAATCTTCTGTAGCAAGTGCTTCAAGTTCTCCTCACTTTCAGAAAGCAAGGTTGTATCATCTGTATAACACAGGTTATTTATGAGTCTCTCTTCAATCCTGATGCCATACTCCTCCTTTATAGAGTCCAGCCTTGGTTGATAATAAGAGGAAGTTCCTCTGTGTCTTTCCATGTCTTTTGCCCATTTTATAATTGTGTTATCAGTCATTTTTCTGTGGAAATCCTGTAGAATTCTGTAAATATTGATAAGAAACTTGTCGGAAATGGTACTGCCAAATGTTTTATCTCAGTTGGTATGTTTTCTTTTCATTGTATTGGAAAATGTTTTAGATACACACAGGTATTTAATCTTTGGAGGTCTCATTTCTCAATTTGGGGATTCTTTATTTTCCTTTTTTAAAATTGTCTTATATTGGTTTATTTATAAAGTTCTAATACATTGTTTTTCATACAGGATCTTTTCCATTTACTTCACCACCCATACCTACCAAACTGCGTGACACTATGATTAACTCACCCCCTATGCCCCTTCTCGCCCCCACCAGATTGAGCATTTGTAGCTGTATTTGGTCATCTCTTTAAACCACAGACTAGGCCATCTAAGCTTGATCCCAGTTTGTCTCTTATGAACTTCATGGGTTTGGGCTTCACTCCCAGGTTTCTCATGCACCTTGAGTTAATATTTGTGTATGGTATGAGATGTGGATCCTGTTTCAACTTTCTGCAGGTGGAAATCCAGTTTTTCCAGCACCATTTATTGAAGAGGTTGTCCTTTCCCCATTTGATAGGTTTTGTTTCCTTGTCAAATATCAGTTGACCAGAGATAGGTGGGCCTATTTCTGGGTTCTCAGTTCTATTCCATTGGTCTATGTACCTACCTATCATTGTACCAGTACCATGCTGTTTTGGGTTACTACTGCTGTGCGGTAGGTTTTGAGGTCAGAGAGTGCTATGCCTCCCACTTCATTTTTGTTCTTCATAAGTGCTTTGTTCATTCTGGGTCTCCTTCCTCTCCAAATACACTTGACAATTTCCCTTTTGATCTCCTTGAAAAATGAATTTGTTATCTGTGGTGAGCGACAGAATAATATCCGTACCACTATCATTCAAACATATTCACCAACAACTAGAGTCAAAGAGGAGGAAATAGAAGATTTCTACCAACTTTTGCAGTCAGAAATTGATCAAACACGCAATCAAGATGCATTAATAATAATGGGCGACTGGAACGCAAAAGTTGGGAACAGGGAAGAAGGATCAGTAGCTGGAAAACACGAGGTCGGTGAGAGAAATGAGGCTGGAGATAGAATGTTGGAGTTCTGCACATTCAATGATTTATTCATTCCAAATGCCTTTTATAAGAAACATAAACACAGGCTATACACATGGTTCTCACTTGATAGCATGCATAGGAATCAAAAATCTATTACATTTGAGGAAAGACTCTCTGGAGAAGCTTAATATCAGCAGCGAAAACCAGGCCAGGTGCTGATTGTGGAACAGACCTCCAATTACTCATATGCAAGTTCAAGCTGAAGTTGAGTGAAATGAAATCAAGTCCACGGGAACCAAAATTTGACCTTAAGTCTATCCCACTCAAATTTCAAAACCATCTTAGGAACAGGTTTGAGGCCTTGAGCACCAATGAGTGTAGATCAAATGAGCTCTGGGAGGATATCAAGAAAATTGTCCATGAAGAATGCAAAATATCATTACAAAGGCTGAAGAAGAAGAAAAGACCAAGATGGATGTCAGATGAGACTCTGAGTATTGCATTAGAGTGCCAAGAAGCCAAAGCTAGAAGGGTGCAACAATGAATGAATGGAATTCCAAAATCTCTGTAGATGTTCATTGAAATGAAAAATAAACAAACTAAATTAAAAAAAAAAAAAGAAGCCAAAGCTAAAGGAAGAAATCAAAGAGCTGAACACAAAATTTAAAAAGGCAGCTTGGGACAACAAAGCAAGATACTATAATGAAATGTGCAGAGAGCTGGAGTCAGAAAATCAAAAGGGCCGGACTTGTTCAGCGTTTCCTAAACTGAAGAAGTTGAAAAACAAATTCAAGCCATGGGTGGCAATACTTAAAGGTAGTTTGAGTAGAATGTTGAATGATCCAGGGTGTATCAAAAGAAGATGGAAGGAGTACACAGAGTCACTGTATCAGAAGAAATTGGCTGACACAGAGGAATTTCATGAAATAACATATGAGCAAGAGCCTAGGGTGATGAAGGTGGAAGTTCAAGTTGCTATGAAGGAACTGGCAAAAGGCAAGGCTCCAGGAGTTGACAGCATACCAATTGATTTATTTCAACAAACAGATGCTGCCCTGGATGTGTTAAGTTGTGCCAGAAAATCTGGAGGATAGCCAGCTGGCCAACTGATTGGAAGAGATTGATATTTGTTCCCAGTCCAAAGAAAGGTGACCCAACAGAGTGTGGAAATTATCAAACAATATCATTGATATCACATGCAAGCAAGATTCTGCTGAAAATTATCCAAAAACGTTTGGAACAATATGTCAACGGAGAACTTCCAGATAGCTAATGTAAGATGGATCTTGGCAGAAAGCAGAGAATACCAGAAGAATGTCTATCTGTGCTTCACTGACTATGCAAAGGCTTTTGACTGTGGATCACAACAAGCTATGGCTGACTCTGAGAAGAATGGGAATCCCAGAATATTTGATTGTGCTAAGGCGAACACTATACTTGGACCAAGAGGCAGCCGTCAGAACAGAGCAGGGAGACACTGGATGGTTCAAAATCAAGAAAAGGGGTCCGTCAGGGATGTATTTTGTCTCCATACCTTTTCAATCTGTATACAGAACAGATCATCCGAGATGCTGGGCTGTACAAGGAGGAAATGTGGCATCAGGATGGGTGGAAGAATCATCAACAACCTGCGTTATGCAGATGACACATCCTGCTTGCTGAAACTGAGGAGGACCTGAAGCGCTTGCTGAGAAAGCAAGGATACAGATTCGATCCTTCTATAAGAATTAAAGCTCAACATCAAGAAAACAAAGATTCTTACCACTGGGCCAATTGGCAGCAGCAGTATGGATGGTGAAGAGATTGAGATAGTTAACAGCTTTAGTTTACTTGGTTCCACAGTCAACACTCTTGGTAACATCAGCCAGGAAATCAAGAGACGAGTTGCATTGGGAAAGTCAGCTGTCAGGGACCTCTCCAGGGTACTGAAGAGCAGCGAAATCAGGCTGGAGACTAAGGTGCGCCTGATCCAGGGTATAGTCTTTGCAATTACGTGCTATGCATCAGAGAGTTGGACAGTGAATAGGGATGATAGAAAAAGAATTGATGCCTTTGAGCTTTGGTGCTGGAGAAGAATGTTGAATATACCATGGACTGCTAGGAGAACAAACAGGTTTGTCCTGAGAGGGTGAAGCCAGAATGCTCCTTGGAGTCAAGGATTCTGAAGCTTCGTCTGACATACTTTGGGCATGCTGCAAGGAGGGACTGGTCCTTTGAGAGAGACATCATGTTTGGGAGAGTGGAGGGACGGCACAGGAGAGGAAGACCCTCAATGAGATGGATCGATTCTGTGAGTGTAGTGGTGGGAATGAGTGTGTTTGAGACAGCAAGGTTGGCACAGGATAGAACGGTGTTTAGGGCTCTTGTACATTGGGTCACTATGAGTCACAAGCGACTCGATGGCACATACCAACAACATTGGGATTGTATTGAACATCTAGATTGGTTTTTGGTAAAATTGTCATTTTCACAATATTTAATCTTCGTATTCATGAACAGGGCACATTTTTCCATTTATTTACGTCTTTTTTGTGTCTTGCAGAAATGTTCTGTAGTTTTCTTTGTACAGGTATTTTGTGTCTCTAGTTAGGTTCACTCCCAAGTATCTCAATTTGTGGTTGGCTATTGTAAATGGTATTGCTTTCTTGGGTTCCTTCTCTTTATTACTATGGAGGAATCCCAGTGATTTTTGCAGTCATTACTTTTTAGAAGAAACCCTTTATGAGCACTTTTCATCTCTGATGGGTGAAATTTCTTTACATATGATAGACGATGGAATACTTTTTGAAAATGTGGAAGAAAATTCTCAAGAAAGTGCTTAAGAATTCTACTTATTTTTTTAGAAGAGACACTAGTAGTTATTTTGTGAAAGACCCAAAATAGTTGATACTCTATAAAATATATTCTATAAGTTGTTGTTGTTGTTGTTGTTGTTGTTTTATACTGTCGAGTCACCTCTGACTATGTACAATTGCTGTGAAGCCTGCCCTTTCCTGAGCCAATCTCACTGACTCTAACACACCTACCCACATTGTCACTCTATCAATCCATTCTCTTCCAGGGTCTTCCTCTCTTATGCTGTCCCTCCACCCTACAGAGCATTATGTCCTTTTCCAAAGATCAGTCCCTCCTGGCCACATGCCCAAAGTATGTGAGACAGAGCTTCAAAATCCTAGCCTAGAAGGAGAAACTTGGTTCCTCTCCAAGACAAACCCATTTGTTTTCTTGTTAGTCCATGTTATGTTCAAGATTCTTCTCTAGCACCACAACTCAAAAGCATCAATTCTTCTATCATCATTAGTCGTCCAGTTATCTGATGCATAGCAAACAATTGCAAACACCACTGACTGGGTCAGGTGCACCTTAGTCTCTAGGCTGGCATCATTGCTTCTCAGTACTCTGGAAAGGTCCCTGACAGCAATTTGTCTTTTAATTTCCTGACTTCTGGTGCCAAGAGTGTTGATTGTGGAGCCAAGCAAGCTGCAACACTTAACAAACTCAATCTCTTCTCCCTCTACCATGGTGCTTCCAACTGGCCCAGTGGTGAGAATCTTTGTCTTCATTAATCAATATTGAAGACTATAGTCCTTGACCTTTTGCAGCAAGCTCTTAAGGTCCACCTCAGTTTCAAGATTATGTCATCTGTATAACATAGCTTGCTGATGACTCTTCCTCCAATCCTGTTGCCACATTCGACCTCATAGAGCTCAACCTCCTGAATTATCTGTTCTGCATATAGATTGAAAAGGTATGGAGGCAGAATGCATCCCTGATTGACTCCCTTCCTGATTTTGAACCACACACGGTGTTTCCCTGCTGTGTTCTGAGAACTGCTTCCTGGTTCAAGTATACATTTCCCAAAAGCACAATCAAGTATTCTGGGATTCCCATTCTCTTCAAGGTTAACCAAAATTTGTTGTGATAAACACAGTCAAAGGCCTTTGCATAGTCAATAAAACAAAGATAAACATTCCTCTGGTACTCTGCTTTCTGCCAAGATCTGTCTGACATTGGCAATAATGTTTCTTCCAAACCCAGCTTGTATTGCTGGTAGTTCTCTGCCAATGTACTGGTCCAGTAGCTTCTGGAAAATCTTCAGCAGGATTTTGCTTGCATGTGATATTAGTGAAATTGTTTAATATTTTCCATACTCTGTCGGGTCACCTTTTTTTTGGAATGAGAATAAATACAGATCTCTTCCAGTCAGTT